TGCATCCTTTGAGTTGGTTAGAAGATATTAAATAGGAGTTTCTTTTTCAAAGTAATTTACTTAAAGAATAGGATATCTCTGAATTCTTATGACTGGGGGCGTCGAGGTATACGCTAGACATTTAAACAGAGTATGACTTGTATAGTCGGACATGGAAAAGGCACCACAACATCCCTTGCGCTCGGCGTGGCAAGAAGGTCCTGTGACTGCAGTAGCGACATGGCTCACGGTGTGTTGAACAGGGATCAAGGCTCTCTGCAATTGAAACCCCATTCGTGCTCGCATGAGAGACAGCCCATGGCATGGCATGGCATCGGCATGCCATGCTAGCAAAGCAAAGCTAACCATGTCGGCTACAGCCCGTCTCAGGATTGGGTGTGTGAGTCTGAGTCCAAGTCTGAGGTCCTTCTCAGTCTCAGCCTGAGCCTCAGCGGCGGGCGTTGATGCTCATCATTTCGCCGGCACTGGTCTGGGCTGTCAATCTGGCGGTGAGCAGACAAAAGACTCGGATAGCCTGACCGATCGAGGGTCCGTTGACGGCAGCGGATACAAGGTCAAAAAAGCGTGATGAACCAGCGTTGCTCAAGCGAGCACTAGACTAGCAAGATGCAGTAGAGCCAAGCCGAGTAGCCTCATCCCCCAGGATGGATCTCGTTGTGTGGAAGGTTGGCTGCGACCCTATCCGTAGGTCCCTAGCAAGTACGTACAGTACAGTTGACCCCTGGACCGACGGCGTGATTGGATTCGCTGCTTTTTGAATGTAATTAGAGCCAAGACCTGGTCCCTTTGGCTTGCGTGCAGGTGGATCGGGGCGTAGCAAGTAAGTATCAAGCATCTGTTCTGGTCTGGCCTGTGATGTAGGCATCTTTCCTGGCGCCTCGTCCAAGGACTGACAGTCCGGCGGCAGTTTGTTAACGGTAGAGGAGAGAACAAGTCAACTCATGTCTAGGCCAGGCCAGGTCCAGACAAGTCTAGTACAGATTCTGTGTGGCATCCTTTGGGTGACTTGCTGGTAATATCGATGCTGAGGACTGAGCCTCTGAGGATACCTTGAGCAATGATTGGATGCAGCGATCCATTGGATGTGTGACACTCACACAACAACGTGCGGCCCCATGCCCTAACGAGGCATCTTGGAGAGACAGTAGGGGTCAAGGGTTCTGCGCACGGTTCTTTTGACGATTCTCTAGTGAGTGTAACTGCAACATGTTAACTAAGAAGAAACCTGGGGCCATTTTGCCAGGTCTCGAACGGCTCCAGGTATTACTAATACTCGAGCATCCAATGTAAGGGACGCGACGCCGTGTGATGAGAGAATTGCATTTGTGGTGATGGGCTTTTGAAACAGACTATGGGGCAGACGGTGGGTTCGTGGATCGCGACAACGTATTTCTCGGTGGTAATCATTCTCCTGCTTCCTTGTACTCTGTACAACCAAACCAAACCGTTTGGTTCGTATCTGTGCTGTGCTCTGCAGCACCTAGAGCAGTAGATCCATCCCTTAGTCGGGAAATCGGTTGGAAGGGTGGCAAATGTTCTGGACGGAATGAAGAACACTGATGAGGCTGAAGAGGTCGATCGTTCCAACAAAGAAAGTTCCGCAGAAACGACAGTCACTCACTGAGGGTCCTGCTGTGGTTGTCTGATAGGTAGGTAGACAGACGGAGGGATATCGACATCGGAGTCTAGGGCTTGGGTCACTGACACGCCTCGAGCTACATAGTATGTACGTGAAACGCACGTTGGGCTTGCAATTGGCTCTGAACTGATTGCATTTTCTTTGCTTTGCGTCTGCATTCGCATTTGCATTTCTCTCATGACAGCACACATGATCTAGACCTCAGAGATCAGTTGCTGTTGTTCCCTGATACCGCCAAAATTACTCCGTATAGATACTCCATATCTTTTCTCGTCTAAGGCGTCTCAAACCAACAGTTCTCGCAGCTATTCATTCACACTCACCCCCAGTCAGGTAGAGAGAGGTAAGCGGGCTGTTGGCCGAGCCGTGAGGGATATTCCCCTTCGCACAGTAGCAAGCCCACGCCAAGCACAGGACCCTATCGACGCTAAAAACGAGGACAATTGGGGATGGACCCGCTGAGTACGACAAGTTTAGGCAATCGGCTAGCATATTCACGATAGAGGGCAATTGATCGACTGATTACGGTCAAATACCTCCCAACCTGATGTTATCTTGGGGGGGGGGGGCAATGCATGCGCTCCCGGGCTTATTACCGATGTGAACTATAACATAAAACAAGAAATCGTATCAAGTTGACAAGATGCAGGATTAGATCATAATCTCCTTATTTTGTTCAACAAATGTAAGCTTGAAGTAACTAGTGACAGAATAAGCAGAGCCTCCATGCAATCGATGAATCAACAGGTGATCACCAGACAAGCAAGCATCGCATCACGGAGCATGAAAGACGCCATGCCATCATCCTCAGACAATCAAGCACAAAGGACTGACGGCGCTGAGTTTCGGGTTAATAATTGCCGCAGGTACAGAGATTAATTACTACGTAGCCTCTCAACTCCTAACAAGCATGAGAGTAGCGGGCGCTTGATATTGACATGGAACAGGCGACTAGCTGCACGTCATTCGCGGTTGGGTTAGGGGAAATGGATAATAAATAAAAACAACGCCAACGGAAACTTCGTTCATGTTTTGGGTCATCCGGTTCTTTGCCACGTAGTATTGTGAGCTCTGTATCTTTGATCTTTGACACAGGCTTTGTGGGCTTCTCTCCACGGTCTACCAAAACGAGATTCCCAATCGGGAGCGCTGCAGAACAGACAACGACTAGGTACCAAGCTGCTGAACCAATCCTACGCTGGAGCTTCCAGACCTAGTTCATCATCATCGTGTTCCAGCAAAAATTAAGCGCCAGGATACGGACAAGACCGCACGAGAAGAGGTTGGCTGTTGGCGAGACTGACCGGAAACGGACCTTGGATAGATAGTGATTTGTTTTGTGGTTTCGAACCAAAAGTTAGACCCTGTTCGAAGAGTAAGAGGCTAGTAGAAATGGCCCCGGTGTCAAAGCGAGCTACCAATGAATTGGATCTATCCGTAAGCCTCGGCCACTCGTATCTTAAACTTCAAAAACAGCCCGAGAGGACGCTCAAGGGTCCTCCGTTAAGCTCCCGTCCGCACTGCATTATGATTCAAAATCCATAGAATTGAATTCGCGGTTACGGGAAAAGTTACATGCAGGACGTTGCACTGCAAATTCAATCGTCATTCATCACACCCCAGTAGCTATTTCGAGGGCGCCCAGTTTGCAGTGCAGTGCAGCGCGGTGCAGTTCTTACAACCGGGAGCTGCACAGTGCACAGTACATAGGTACTCGGTCATTTCAGCCATCGCCAAGCTCACACTTGTTCTGAATGCTTCCTTGGGCTTGCACTTGCACTTGGGCTTGAGCGCCAAATGCTGTGGCGAAGCCGATTGCGCGGAGCCCCTACGGGTGCTCACGTCCAATGGGCTCTGTAGCGAGGATGCACAGCAAGAGCTGTGAGGTTCTAGACAGAGCTGTTTGTGCAACAATGATACTGTACTCTGTAGTTGACAAGGTACTATGAACCAAGTCCAGTGTGAACCATCGATAGTCTTCAAGACCCTGCAATATCTGACACTGAAAAGCCCCCTGTAAATCACACACAGACAACTTGCTTTGCCAGTCACGTCTAGCCGTGCCTCGGGAAGTACTAACAACGCATTTGCCGCGTGATGCAATAAATCTACGGATACACTTAGTCGAGCTGCTGCGCCGTATTTTGGTTTAGGCTCACAGGCTCACAGGCTTACTCCCAGTCCCAGAGGTCCCCAGGCCAGGAGCCTTTCTGCCGCAGAGGCTCGCTGGGATACATCGCCTTTTTGTTAATTCAGGGTACCCGTTGCCAGGAGCTAGGGGAGCCATGATCCATCCCACCATCACAAGACGCACGAAGGGTTAAGCACCCAAAAAAGTAACGTCGTACTCTCGACTTGCTCCAGTATCCACACATCCACTCTGGATGGGGGATCTGTGAGCCTCAAACAGAACCAGGCTACGCAGGCGCGCGAGATCAGGCCGAGTGAGCAATTCAATGCTATGAAGTGACGCAAGTGAGGCAACTGATGGCAGCCCTCGGGGACAACGAGCCCGAATTGAGTTGATTGAGTTGGAAATGACGGTTATGAGGTTCTAAGCCGAGGCGCACTGCACGGCCACTGGAACAGTTGCAACAGTTTGCTTGCTGTACCCTACGTACGAGGCAGTGAATAACTCCATAACTCAATCAGCCTCGTACCGTAAAGCTTACGACCTTGCTCACTCAAAAGATAGGCGTTATCTCCAAGCCTTTTAAAAGAGCAAGGGAATCCCTCCCCCGTCTCATCTTCACAAGAGCAGAGAGACTATGAACACCCAACGAGCCAGGGAAACAACAGCTGGAGCCACACCCCCAAATGTCCAAAAGTCCAAGGTCCCTTGCCATTCAACACTAACTGCACAGTCTCCCGCACAGTGCTTCTACCTTCCGCCCTTTTCGGGGCCAACCTTCCTCTCTTCCTTCCCACTGCAACTCACTCTCCTTCTCCTTCACTTTCCCCAAGCAGTTGCTGCTTCGCATTTTAAGTTTTCGACAACGATCCGAATTGCTTCACTTGACTCTTCGCCAATATTCTCTATTATAACTGCTGAGGAAGATGCTCGAGTCGCTTATAGATATTGCTTATTTATCCTGATTAACAGCTCCATTTACCTCTCTCCCCCTCCCCCCACCAAAAGTGACGAACCGCGCCCGCCGCCCGCCAAAACTCCCCGCCATCATATCGAGCTTCTCAGTCGTCCAATCTCCTGCCCCACGACGAAACAGTTCTGTGTGGTTTTTTTGCGAGCACGACGAGCAAAAAGTCGAGGCCTCGTCTTTCGCGAATCCGGACTTGAACGAACCGACCTGCCATGGTGATAAACGACTCAGGCGTTAAAGTTTCGCGTCACAATCTCGCCATGTCTGCTACCGCTCCAGCAAACACTGCCGCTGCCGGCACCGCGCCCTCCACCACCACCGACGACTCTGGTGAGCTATCCCGCCCTCGCCGGCACTATCCCTCGTGCTTCCGCGTCCGACTCAAGCTGCTCCGTCACCGAATAAAACCTCCGATTTTACATGCTGACATTTATAGCCTCAACCATCACAGTCAACACAAAGGTGCCTACTTACCCTCCCCCGAAGACGGACAAGCCCCGTCCACACGTCTGCGGCACTTGCCAGCGTTCGTTTGCCCGATTGGAACATCTCAAGCGACACGAACGCTCCCACACGAAGGAGAAACCCTTCGAGTGTCCCGAGTGTGCACGATGCTTTGCCCGTCGTGACCTGTTGCTGCGTCACCAGCAGAAGCTGCACCAGGGTTCGACCCCCTCGTCCCGCCCTCGCAATCGTCGTGAGTCCACAACGGGTGTTACTCCTGGCCAGAGTCGTGCCCGCAAGAACAGCGTTGCCGGAGCCCATGCAGCAGCAGCAGCCGCCGCTCCAGCTTCAAACGTCGCAGCAAACACAATGCGGCCCAGGGCCAACACTATCAGCCATATCGACATCTCGGCCATGCAGACGGTTGCTGCCCATGCTGCCGCGGCTCGTAATGTTCCTGTCATTCACACTCACAGCAGGCATCCCAGTCTTGCCGGTTTGCCAAATCATAGTATGGATCATTTCTTTGGTGGCGGCATGTCCGCGGCTATGGGCCAGCGGACCATGCACCACGGCATCCCTAAGCTTGAGACAGGTGCTTTCCATAACCTCGACTATGTTAACCCTCTCAGGACGGCGCCACCGATGTCCGCGTTCAGCGAATTCGAGTTTGATGGTGTGCTCTTTGGGCCGGGTACGACAGTAAATCCCAACAACCTTCATTACAACGACTCACCGCAGGGCATGAACTTTGACCAGACCTCGCCTTTCGGCCACATGAACGAGATGCCTACGAGCCAAAACCTCGACGAATTTGACTGGTTGACTGGTTTTGAGCACCAGATGTCATTTGGAAATGGAAACGAAAATGTGATTGATGGATCTAGTCCATCCGCAATCAGCACGACGAGTCAGAGTGGGATTAGCGATGTTATGTTGGATGGGTCGAATCATCCTGCGCCAGCTGGGACAAGTACTATGTGGCAAGCACCTGTAATGCCGCCTCCACAGATGCCGACGAACCCTTTTGCGATGGATTTGAATGGCACAGTCTTTCCGGATCTCCTTAACGGAGCACCGTTATCACCTCAGCCAGCTACTCAAAAGATCAATGACCCTTACTTCTCTACGCCTCCACCGTCGCTGAGTTCGTTGAGCCCCTCTGTCGTGACGGGGCTCAACACCCAGAACATTAACCAGACCCTTGGGTTCAATGCCGGCCCGGAGACGCCATCCTCCTTAAATGGCGGCAACCACGGCGCTTCGCCCGTGACCACCATTACAGATGCCACCCGGCATGCCATCGTGAACATCCTGTCCCAGTGCCTGCCCTTTGGGGGTCGTAAATATTCCTTTACTTCTCAAGGCTCACCTCAATCGCCTCTCTCCCAGTCCGCTGGCAATGCTTCCTCTCCCCAAGCAGCCAATTTGCCCAGTACCCAGGACCTCCAGCGCTATGTCGGTGCATATCTAGCTTATTTCCACCCTCATTTGCCGTTCCTTCACCTTCCCACTTTGTCCTTCGATATGCCTTTTTCCTCCAATAGTCGCCCAGGTGTAGGTGGTAGTGGTTGCCTGATATTGTCCATGGCCGCAATCGGCGCGCTTTATGAGATGGAAACTGCTCAATCTCGAGAGCTGTTCGAAATGGCCAAGAAAATGATATTCTTCTACCTTGAAGAGCGCCGGAAGGCGGATGTTCGGAAAGCAGACATTCGTCGAAGCACCCCAACTGACCATAGCAGTGATGGAGGCGTTAATACCCCTGTGTGGCTTGTCCAGGCCATGCTTTTGAATGTCGTCTACGGCCACAATTGCGGCGACAAGACTGCCAGCGACATTGCCTCTACACATTGCGCTGCTCTCGTAAGCCTTGCCCAAGCAGCTGAACTCTTGCGACCCGGGCCTTCCAGCTCCTCCGACGACCACGATGTTCAAATGGCCGAAGACGGGAACTGGAACGTCAATATGGAACCCGATCAGACAGAGTGGTTGCGTTGGAAGTCGGGGGAGGAGCGAAAACGAACCCTGTATGCGGTGTTCATTCTTTCCAGCCTTCTGGTCTCTGCCTACAACCATACTCCAGCATTAACTAACTCGGAGATCTTCCTGGACCTTCCTTGTGATGAGGAGTACTTCTCAGCTGAATCAAGCGCCGTATTCCACGCTCGAGGTGGACCAGAGGGAGCAAACCACAACAGGATGACATTCCATGATGCGTTGGGCGACCTTCTTCATGCTAATGAAAAACATCACCAATTCTCCTTCAACGGCCAGTTCGACCCTTCGATTGACGGACGAGACCCAATGGATGCGCCACTTCGACCCAGCACCTTCGGATCCCTGGTTCTCATCAATGCATTACACAACTATATCTGGGAGACACGACAAAGGCATCATCATAAAGTCTGGACCAACGAGGAGACGGACAAGATGCATCGACACATCGAGCCTGCCCTTAAGGCATGGCAAGCGGCTTGGGCAAGCAACCCTCAACACAGCGTTGAACGCCCAAACCCTTTTGGTCAGGGTCCCCTATCTGCAGATGCAATTCCTTTGCTCGATCTGGCATACATTCGGTTGTTTGTGAATCTCTCACGCTCGAAGGAGAAGTTCTGGCAACGCGATTGGGATGGGATGGCCGAGGAGCTTTCTCGTGGTAATGAGATTGTTCAACACGCCGAGCAATCGCCAATTTCGAACTCGGAATCCGGAAGCACCGAGCCATCGGATAACTCTGTCAATGGCTCCGGATTTGTGGAATCGCCTGCTACTCAGCCATCATCAATGGACTTCTCAAATGGCAAGGTGCCTCCTCATCTCCAGTCAGCATCTTCTAGTATGTCAAACCACACTACATCGCGGCGGGAAAAGCATCTTCGAAAGGCTGCATTCTATGCTGCAGATTCTCTCGCCATGTCTGACAAGCTCGGTGTCACGTTCGCCGACTTCACAAGCAGGGAGCTTCCACTTCAATCTGCTCTTTGTGCGTTCGACTGCGCTCAAGTTCTCGCGGAGTGGATTGCTACGTTGCAGGATCGTGTTGGTTGTTACCTCGGTATACTCGGCCAGGATCAAGTTAACCTTTCAGAGGTCCCTGCCATCATGCTTTTGGAAGAAGAGGATGTCAAGCTACTTGGCAAGGTTCACGAGGTGTTGTCATCAGCAGAGATCAAGATGAACATTGACCTCGCTCATGGTTTGAATGGACAGGAAGCTAATCTGGACATGAACGGGCACAATGGCTACGCTGCGAAGCTACTTCGGATCACCGCCTTGATGTTGGACAAGGCAGCAGTCTGGCCGGTAACACGGCTCAAGGCCCGATGTCTGGAAGCTCACGCAAACTTCATGCAAACCCGCGCTAAGAAGTCGATTTTGCCTCAGCAAGAGCCACGAATGTGAATGCCGAAGCATCTAAACGACTTTCTTCGCCGGACTATAGAATCATATCTTCGAATAGCGTTATGTTGAGATACACGGAAGGATCTGGTATGATCGTTTCTGATTTATGCCAGCTTGTCGATATTGGCTTTACGCATCACAAAATACTTACTTGAGCGTCGTACACAAAAGTCCATAGCTTTTATTTGCTACTTGCTTTTTTTGTTTTTGGAGGGGGCTTCGTTTGCTCACCTGGTCTGTATGTTTAGCGTTAGGGCGTTGGGGTTCTTTATCATCAGCTTTAATGTCAGCACAGCGACATTCAAGTTTGTTTCAAGCATTTGCTTGATATTATCACAAATGGTGCCTGGTAGTGCCACGGGGTTACATGGATCGACATTGGAGGAACGATCGATTCTCGGAGAAACACAGTGAGCATGTTGCATTCTGGGGTGTCGCTTACGCAGACGTGGCACAATCCCCTACATCGCATTCGAGCTTCAACAAGCAAGGTGTTTTGGAGCGCAATGTTCACGGAACGTGTTAAATTCTCCGGGGAAGATGATGCAGCGGCAGTGGGAACTGAACTGTATGTTGGGGGAAATAAGATGTACTCAGCTCTCAACGAGTGTGATGGTGGCATCCCATGTATGTACAAATTTCCGATTATGACTTGTATACTCGGATCCACGACCTTAATGGTGGTCCTCAAGATGTTAGAGTAAATAACGAGTGTGTATGATTGCTTCGCCTGTGTCCCTCTGTCCGAGACTGTGAGATAAGTGAGCGTGTGTATAAACCGTGCCGTTGCCACTTTAATAGAGAGCAGTTTATTAAATGTAGGCATTAATTGATATGAAACTTTGTTTTCCATGCCTGTTTCAAGCCTCTTCTGCCTAAGGATCAATACATAGTTCACAAGATGTCGCTGCGGATAACATGTGGAATTAGCGCCAATATCAGGCAGCACTCGGTCATTCACCTGGCCCATTCTCATCCACTTCACCTTCAAGTAACAACACACAATGGCAGAACAAGAATCAACACAAGTCACTCCCCCAGAGTTCAAATTCACTTTTGACGAATCCGTCGCAGAGTGGAACGTCAACCACCGTGACTGGCTCAAGACGCACAGCAAAACATGGGACTCTCTCGCTACGGGTGCCCTCGTCTTTGACGCCGACAACCGCATCTTGCTTCTCCAGCGCGCCCCGGACGACAGCATGCCCAACAGGTGGGAGGTCCCAGGCGGAGCGTGCGACGACTCTGACGAGACGGTGCTGTACGGCTGCGCGCGCGAACTCTGGGAAGAAGCAGGCCTCGAGCTGCGGCACATCCGCCGTGTGATCCCCGACGGGCTCAGCGGCCAACCCGGCGCTGTTTTTACGAATCGCACGGGGAAGCGCTTCTTCTGCAAGTTCAGCTTCGAGGTGGACGTTGTATCGACGGAGGTGGTCAAGCTGGACCCGAAGGAGCATCAGGATTATGTGTGGGCGACGGAGGAGGAGGTTAAGGAGCAGGTTGTTAAGGGAAGAGATATCCCGTTGACGAATGCTATTATGGTTAAGTTGGTTGAGATGGGGTTTGCGATGAGTAGGAGGGAGAGGGAGGGATGAGTGTGGTTGTGGTGTGGTAGTGGTAGTGGTGGCTGTTTATAGCATTGCGTTACTCTTTTGTATGCAGCCTTAAAGTAAAGTGATTCATGATTCATATTAAGATAGATTATGCAAACGCTAGATTCAATTTTGTAACTCCATCCTACCCAAATTCTCGCATTATCAGCGTCCGTTCTCAGATATTGTTTGTCTTTGCTTGTCGTTCCCATGTCATAGCCAAGCTTTTCCTTTACGTAGAGGCCATAGCAGGACACTCTTGTTGATGTTAAAAAAATGCTAGTTAGTAAAGGCCAGTACCTGTGGCTAAATAATTGTCTTTGGAGACAGCCATTCCCCTACGAGGAGAGCTCGCGCAGCAAAATTGCAAGCTCCTCCCACAGCAGTCAAAGCAGTGAACAAACCGGCAAGGGCCTGAGGTCCCATGTTCTCCAGCATGGCACCGCTGCTTGGGAGGGCGACGAGTAGTGCAAAAGCTGTAACAAAGTTCATCATGCCTTTGGTGGTGGTTAGTCGAGTGTAACTGCTGATATGCATAGGTAGTATAGAAAGCTTACCGTAGTATCTTCCATAGTCTTTAGCTTCGCATGTTTTGCCCATGCATACTGTTACTTGTCAGTCATGCCCTTTTAACTCTATACTTATGTGTATCAATACTGACCTGGTGTAATGGAGAGAAACGACCCAGACCCGAATCCCCAAATAGCAGACCAGGCGTACAAAGCAGTGGCTGATTTTGTACCAAAGGGAACAAGCAATGCTCCCATAAAGATGATAGTGAAGACCGCACTGACAAGGAGTATGTTGAAATGCCCATACTTATCACCGATGAACCCGGGGATGACTCGGCCAAAGGTAGAGCCGGCTCCAACAATGGCGAGCAGAGTATACCCGTTCTCGGGAGTGAAGCCGACGTGTGTGGAGATGGACGGCAAAAGACCCGATATACTGAAAATGACAAACTCAAACATGAAGATACCAGCCGTGACGAAGCAGAAAGCAGGCGACTTGAAGGCCGTGAAGTTGAGTGTAGAGCTCTTGGGGCTCGCCTGTCCTCCCGAAGACTTTTTGTACATCTTGTTAAAGGGGATGAAGCAGGCCATGGCTGGGAGCAACAAGCCAGCGGATATGAACGCCATGATACGCATCGACCACTGCCAGCCTAGCTGGGGGTATGTAGAGCGCAGGATAATAGGGAATATGACAGCTCCGATGGATGATCCTGCGAGAGTGATGCCCATAGCAAGACCGCGCTTGCGGACAAAGAGTTTGGCTACGATGGCTATGGCAACAACCATTGTCATAGCAGCACCGATACTTCCAAATACGCCCAAGCATAGCATGAAGTGCCAGTAGTTGCGGCATTCAGCCATGAGGAGGAACATGGCTACGTACAGAACCGCGCCGACTGGACCGATGATGTTGGGCCCGTGGACATCAACCATTGGCCCAACTTGGACGTTGAATATGAGTGAAAGGAAGAGGAATAGGCCACTTATCCATCCTACTTCGCCTTCACTGTAATCGTGGAGCTGGTTCATGCTTAGATGTGTCTGGACTGTACCGAGAGAGTTCATGAAGCCTGCAGGGGAGATTGTTAGTGAATAGTATGGGAGTCGGTGGGCATTGGCTTTTACCAAAGGTGGGAACTAGACATAGGAATGCCCCCAGGACGCAAATCCATGCGCTGAATGAGTTTTCGATGTCTTCAGCAGGGGATTCTGCTTCTTGTTGTGCTTCGGCATCTGGGTTGACATTCGACATAGCAGCCGCTATAGGATCGAGGCCGAATGCCGCCCAATTGGCGTTATCTTGGAAACTATTTCGCTGGACATTTTCTCCTCTGGGTGTAGAGTCGATCATGACTATAGTTTTCCTGGTAAAACTGCTGTATAGTCTTGATTGCATGCATAACTCCTGGGCCAGAACCAAAGGTGATCCATCTATATAAGCTTAAACCGGGAGTGGTTCCGCAGACAGTAACACCAAATCTTTCTCTTCCATCTAATAAACACGGTTAGCCAATGAAGAATCAACAAGCTAAGGAAAAGGACTAATCTGGACTTCGGCTGTGGCAGATTCTAGCGTCGCAAAACCACGCCCTACCAACTTGCTCCTCGACGGGATCGGATCCAGGGCCCGATGGAGGAGGGGGGTCGCTTTGTAACCTGCAATGCTACTGTATTCATGAGATACCACAACCGAAGTGGCTCCTATTACTCTGGCTGGTCAGTAAGATAAGCGGTTAGATTGCTTAGATTTAGCGGTGAATGGGTGTTCGTCTTTTGTTTAGAGGGTGATAAGTGGCACTGCGTGATCGGACATGGTTGAGTCATCCTTCAGGGATAAGACAAGTTGTGCATGAGGGAGGGGAGAGGTTTCTGGAATTGCCCTTGGGCTAGTTTTTATAAGACAATTGAAAGATTAGACTGATGGTTTTGATAACATGATCTAGGTAGTTTATGGGTTAGAACTTGACTTTGGTTGTCGATTTAAGACACACTGTGATATAAGCCGCCCAACTACTCATTTAGGTGGTTTGTTCATGAATCAATAGTGACTTTGATACTATGGCTTTATGGTCCTTTGGTCACTAATACTAGGTAGATTCTTGAGTGATGTTGCTCCATCAAAGGCCCCTCCCAGTAACCCATGGCACAACTCAAACCTGATAGGAGGAATTGGACCGTGTGTGACTATACCCCCTTCTTCCTCGGTTACAGCATTGGAACTCAAGCAAGTGCAGGAACAGCCCTTAAGGTATAAGACTGCCTGAGTATAGGTAGTTGCAGTTTTAGTTGCAGTTGCAGGGCTCATGCTAATATCTACCTTAGTAGTTATGAGTCAACAACGATATCTTACCCTCTGTATCGCCAAGTTATACCCCATACACCCATATTGTTCACCGTTCAGTGGACGTTACATGCCAGCTTTAGCACTCATCCGAATAGCAAAATCATCACCGCCAACAGGATACCCCATTCGATTCAGTTATGGAGAAGAATTAGTTTCAAAGCTTTTCTGAACGAGTCGGTGTAGTCTCCCGAAGATTCAAAGACGTCGTCACACTACCGGAGCTGACTGGCAACTCGAACAAGTGCACTTCAACTGCCAAAATCCTGCGCGATCAGCAGGAATTCCAAGAATGGGCACGGAAGTTCGACATTGACTTTGATCCACCGTTTACCGATTCTCTTGAGCAGCAAATATTCAAGGACGAAAGGAGGCGCTCTCTAATCATGATGGATCTACATATGCTAGCCCTGCAACTCTTATTGCGTAAGTGCATCCGTACATAATGCTGCAACATTGTTTCCAATGCTGACTAGAAACAGTGCACCTTTACTCCCAAAGGCCACTCAGTTGGCACCGAGAGAAGACAGTATGGGGAGTCGTTAACGATCTTCGGGCGAGCCTGGGTAGTCTCCTCAGATGTGTAGAGGGTCTCAAAGGGGTGAATACATATCAAACTATGCCTCAGAAAACGGCTTCTGTTGGGTTTTCCATTGGAAAATATCAGGACCCAAGCTCGGTTCCGCCCAAGAATCGGGGTGGCTTCAACTGTGAGGATTGCCATAAAAGTCGAACCGTACCTTTCTTTTGTCCTTGAATCTGCGATTAGTCGTGGTGACATGAATTACTAGACATTAGGGAGTTGATGAAATGTTCTATTATCGCTGCTCGTTTCCATATCATTCAAGGCTACCTATACTGTCCATATTTGTTGTTCAAACCTATCTATCTACCTACATTGGTAGGTAGGTAGTCGCGCTGCTCTCACAACAAATGCTTGGAGAGAAATGGGAATCACGATAGAAACAGTAAGTCGCAACCGAGGTTCTCTCTGTCGTTTCTTTCAAAATTACCTCGTTGTTTCCCTGTACTGCTATCAATCACAGGCAGGAACCAGGCACAAAGGTTAACTTTGTTCAAACCCTGTCATAAGGAGCAGTTTTAGCTCACGACATCCGAGCAGCTTCAACTAAATAAATATCTAGCACTCTCACCATTATCATCGAAAGTTTTATCTTGAGTAACAACCACTGCGTACCTTATCACGAAAACTACCGTTCGTCGACTGTATAACCCCTCTAATAATGCCTATCCGGAAGATGCGCCCGACTGACGCCGACGCCATCAAACTCCTCGTCGATGGCATCAACGACGTATTCAAACGCATCATAGAGCTCCCCATCATGGAAATGATTGATCAGGGCTTGTATTTCCTTCCAACCAAACATTTGATCGGGCAAATGCAAGACCTCTTCATGTACTGGGTCAACAACTTCCCAAACACCCCTAGAGGCTACAAGCTTGACATACCCCAGCAACATCTCGTCGTAACGCACGCCGAAACAGAAGGGAACCCGGTTCGCTTGGAGGAGTTGATTGTTTGGTTGGAAGATTGTAAGTATTTATGGTGGAGACGAGCAGATGTAAAGTTGACGAGTTCCAGTACTCGAGATGATAGCTCGCAATGAAAGCAAAAAGGCCTTCGCCTGGGTTGCTCAGACTGCCCGGTTGATCTTGAATATTTATGACTACGGTTTGGCTTTTCCTACTAGGTTTCGAGACAAGAACTAACAATATTCAGGGGTATTGATATGGGAACCATCAAAGAAGCACCAAGAAACATGACTTGGGGTTATGCAAGTATACAGTGGGAATAATCGATCAAGAGTGATCTCTCAAACTCAGCAATAAGCGCCATGTTTTAGTTGGGCTTGTTTCTCGATCACTCGTGCAAACGCATTTCTCAGCCTGATTTCACCAATCCAATACCTCATCAACACAGTCCCAGCCGGCTAAAGCCTCATGACGGCAACCGACATGGGGGATTTTCAGCTGGTAAGAATGCACTAATAAATACACCCCTAAATGCATTGATATGTTCCTATCAGTATTAATACATATGTGATAGATGAGTTCTTGTCTATAAAAATAGAATTAGGCTGTGGTCTGATATTGCCTACTGGCTTGTTTTCTCTGAAGCCTACTCTAGCCAAGGCACTATCGAATGCAGGGCCTGATCCTTGGACATTTGGCCTTTTTGTCCTTTGGTCCTATGTTCTCGTTCTTAAGTTGGATGAGACCTAAGTTAATCCCCTATCTTTCTCCTCCTTATAAACTGTGACTTCCCTCTTGTAAAGAAAGCAACACTTCCATCCTTTTGATATACACGGTTATCAGCTTATCGCGGACCGCTATCTCCTCTCGCCCACCAAAATGATGGCTAAGAGTGTGTGAACTCGTTCAGGTGGTCCTCCTAGACGTGCTTATGCTGCTCCCATGGTGACTGCATTGGCAGCGCTGGACAAACGAGATGTCATTCATGGCCGGCAAATATATGAAGATTGTGGTTACTACACATACCCCAAAAATCCAGGCAGAGTTGTCTTTTTCTTCTGTTACTTCTAAATTCAATTCCCCGCTCAAAGTCTACGAGAAGTTGATATATCTTGTTCTCTTAGACGGTTCATCAGTGATCGCAACCTGCAACACCTTTAGTAACTGTTTCTGATGCTCTGCTCCAGTTCAGACAGCTTGCTATACTCAGGTGGTGTCTGTGATACCCCAGATAGACACGCTCTATGCTAGTTCGTAATTCACGTATATGTAGCCCTCACTTCAGACTAACTCTCAATTAGTTCAGACTCAGTCTGGTCAAAATGGATGCCCGCTTACAAGACTGTCGGCACTCGGGTGATCACAGCTTTTAATTACGCAAATGAGGAAATGAACGTTGACATATCCAAATCAACAGACCCCTCAACCTCACAGTTGGATGAAGAACCTTCGAGTAAAGTCCCCGCGGCAGCGGCCTCGTCTATCGAGACAACTGGTTCGGTAGAGGCGAGCATCAGTACCAAGAATGCTCCTACAAACACAGAATCAGCCCTTACCGGTCAGACCTCATCTTCGGACAACGACCCCAAAGATCCTAGCACACCTATTGGACCTATCGTAAGAGGCGTTATCGGAGATCTGGCGCTTATTGCACTCATTGGGGTCGGTTTGTGGTTCCTTCGTCGCAAGAAGCACATCCATTCTCACAGACACTCCAACATTCATGCAATGGCAAACTATCATCCTCAACCTCAAGCACTGCCACATTGCTAGTATATAAACCCTACATATAATGTCCTATATACGATCATCCGCCCATGTCCTCAACGCCAAGGAATGGATCTCGGAACTTCAGCAGCTTGCACTATGTGGCGAGCCCTCAAGCTTCGGAGCTCCCATCAACACCAGGTCGTCCGAAAAAGCCTGAGCTGGGATGATGAGGTGGTTCAATCCATCTCTGGTTGAGCAACTGCTGTTTCTTTGTTACACAACATGGCGGTTGACACAAAGGCCACTACAATTGCCGTTACCGCGCAGTAAGTCATCAACTTATTTCCTGTAATTTGGAAAGGCCTTCAATACCTCCTCTCCTGCCTTACATCACGAGCTGTCCTCAATTTCCAAGACTTCGGAATGATCAATTACCTAGGTACCTAGCAGGCGCCCCCCCTCTCTCTCTTTTTAACAGGACTGATATAAGGTTGTAGTTATGGATTGATGTCCTGAAAAATATAGTGTTGTGACCAATTGTTCAACCTGTTTGTGATAAATAGCTAGTATAAAAATGACGGTTTATTAATAGCTGTTATAGCCCGTTTAGAATGAGTTGAAATGTTAAAGATGAACACAATGTCAGTTTGAACAATTAGTCACAACATCAATTGTTTGAGCTATGGGAACAGGCAATGGCTAAGCAAGGTCATTTTTATCCAGGCCTGGCACTTGTGCATCCCCGCATTGCAACACCCACTCCTCTACAGGCTAGCAAAGCTTCTGCAGCTCAAGAAGCTCAAGACTGTGTTCAGGCTGCCACAGATGAGTCTGGCAATCTGCCTCCCTCATCCCCTCCACCATATCCACCTCTAAAGGGGCATCCTATTACCAGGAGGTCTACACGTTGGGAGCACCACGAAATTGATTACTTGATGTATTTGATGGAGCTTTCGATCCCGCTGAGGGAGATGCTAGACAAATTTCACGGTCGATTTGGTGAATACCACACTTTGCAATCGCTTGAAACCCAGATTAAGCTGATTCGCAGAGCCGCGCGAGCGCGACCAGAACAGGACACTTTACTACTTAAAACAACGGCACGTATACTTCAGGATGATCCGGTTCAGCCCAAGCCCCTGGCTTTGCCTGAACCTATGCAGCAGAGCCATCCCTGCGATTGGCCTCGCTGGAGCCGGACATGCCCAAAGTGACTAGGCAACGACAGGCTGCTACAAGAACGCAGAGTGCAGCAAGGACATATCTGAAAGATCAAAGCGATGACAAGTGCGGATATTTACGGTTGCTTCTTCAGACTTGTGACAACTGGGATCAAGGCAGGTGTTTCAGACCATTGCGAACCTGGAGAATATGGATAACTCAAGAATATCCGCTCGCAAGATCACACGATGGACTGTTCAAGAGCATGCCATTTTAGAGTCTCTTCTTCAAAGATGTACTACGTGGAAGGAGGTCCACGATGAATTGGAAGCAAAGTCTCCAAAAGGCCGAAAGATGGAAAGCGTCCGTCATTATGCAATGACTCACCAAATGGATGTCTCTAAGGTCACTGGTCCACCAAGGTGGACTTTACAAGAGGATAACGTACTCAGAGAGCTTTTCGAGTCTGGGGTTCCTCGACCCGAATATCCCACACGTTTTTGGAGGGCAATGGGCCCGTGGCGCGATTGTGGAGAGAACTCAGCGACTGGGGCTGCTTGTAAACAAGTCCTGGTCTGAGGCAGAGATGCAAAATGTCCGAGACCATCGCCATCTCAAACTCAAAGAATTTTCCGCTCAATTTTGGAGCAAATTCGGATATGATCTGACGTACAAAACAATCAAAGAGCGACGCACGCTCGAGTCAGCTCACAAGGATGATTAATCTTTGGGAGCTCGGCCCAGTTCTCACTCGCAGGTCATAGTCTCTACTTGACACGTCACGCTTTTAAAACATCAAGTCGGCAGTATTGAAGACAAAGGATTCAGCAAGACATCACTGTGCAAGGTGCGGTTATACGAACCTGGTGAAATGAGACTCCGTCTGAAGTTGGAGGTACAATTAACGATAACAGGGGCTGTTCATTGAAGGACTAGAACCCGATCCTTGAGCGGCGGTCAGACAAGAACCGTGTAAAGAAAGGCAGGCAGCCAGGCAGGTCGCAATGTTACGGAACCTTATGTATAGGTCATAGGTTTATGAAAATACCTCTTCTCGGTCACGGAATGTAGTTAACGGAGATGGTGGATTATTTCTGCGATAGAAAAGCTTTATCTCAGACAGGGCATCAGCATTGGTCCAATTATTATCAATCCCCTTCCAGGCTACCTCTCCCTTTGTTATTCTCCCCATGTAGTCCAAATAGCGCCTCACATCAATCATGTACGCCAGATCATAGCGGCACAGCCAGGCCCAGAGGGCATAAATTGGTACTAGCCCGCGACAAAACGATGGGACTCGCACACAGGATGCATCACAACCCACGGCGTGTGCGCACGGAAAAAGGCATGTATCCAAGTAAATATCAACTGAAGTCTAAGACGTGGCCTACCTGTGAGAAATCCAGATCTATTCTCCAAATGCGCACACTATTCTTCGTGTCACTGAATTGCTTCGGCAGCCAACACTCCTTGCGCACGACCCAAGTCAAGCCTCAGGTGCCTGCCTCATCTGTCTCGTGCAATCAGGCGCGCTGGATCATGGCCTCGCGGTCGGGACCAGTGCCGATGTACTTGATCTACTCAATTTTAGCAATTGCGGTGCAGGTCAGTACGCGCATCCACCTACCTTGACTCCGACAAACTTCTCGATGTACTGCTAGTAGTCAGCGCCACTGTTCGTTATGCTAGCCCCGGTAAATATGCTCACCTCAACATAATCGCGGGCTGCCTTGGGGAGATCGTAGTAGGTCCTCGCGTTGGTGGTCGGCTTTTGCCAGCCTGGCATCTCGTGGTAAACCACCTCAGCTCGGCCCAGGATGTCAAGATCCGCGGGGTAGGAGTCAAGTTCCTGTCCAAACGATTAGCGTCTCCACAACCTATCATGACATCGTTGGCATTACTGACCTCTCCATCGACCTTGTAAGCAATGGCGATCTTGAGCGTTTCGAAAGTATCCAAAACGTCGAGCTGCAGAGTGTTAGAGCATTTTGGCACGTGTTGCAAGTATGCCACAGGCAGTGTCTACCTTTGTAAGATTTAGGCTGTCGTAGTAATTGATCGAGTTGCTGTACTTGACAACAACAAGGTCTGTATGTGCTTGTCAGTTGTGTTCCCTACTAGTCAAGGTTTTGAGGTTGTGTCTACCGAGCCTGAGAACGGTCAGTAAGTTTGTCATCGACTAAAAACCATGATGAGAGCTCACCATCCACATCGGCGTCTACGGCCAGTCGACGTTCCCTAAGTCTTGTCAGTGATGAAGGTCAAACCCTCCAGGGCGCTTGTGGCCTCACCCATTCGCGTCCAATCTCCTGGAGCTTGGTGCCAATCCTAAAGTTCTTCATTCAGCTTCATAGTAGCCTCAAGATGGTAATTAAGACGTACTCTTCGGTATCTTCGGTCTTGAAAGCCCCCGACCCGACACGGGTGGTATCTATTGCAAGTCAGCAGTAAATCACGGCCTTCATGCAATCGACATACAAGCCTTGACCACTCCAACCGTCTCTGTGATATTCTTTGGGTTCAGTGTAAGTCCACCAATAATACCAGCAAGCGTAGTGCTTGAGGAAGTGACGAACTGTAGTTGATCATCAGTATTAGCGCAACTAAATGTTCAGGTTGACGGAAACTTACTGGGTAAGAGCCATAATCAATATCTAGCATCAGTGCCTGTTCAATTGGGAACAAGCACAAGCGCCAGGTCCCAGAACCCCTTTCCTTCACAGAAGACTTAACTGATGCCTATCTACCACCATTGCACGTGGCGCAGAGGTTTGACGTGAAAATGATGCCCCTGGGTCATCTCAAGGCAGGCTTTCTGAGTACAATCTGGCTCTTACCTCGAGACAACGTAACTGGATCTGCTCCAAGTTGATTCCAGGGCGCAATCATCACATAAAATTATTCTTAACTCCACCGGCCACGCTCGATGGTCAACAAGTAGATGACTAGAAGCCAAGTCCCCGTAAGGCTCCCGAGTTCTGCCGAGGCGTGGACATAATACACAGCTTGTTACATCACAGATCCCTTGTTGGCTTCCGCCAGCAAAGTGATTGTTCAGACGAGCACTATGTCCCGCCCCAAGCTAAGAATCTTGCGGGACTAGGAAAGAGAACTCCAAGACCACGGGCACGGTGCTCGTCCCCTCAACGCGTCAGTACTATTCGTTATTTCATAGGGTGAGAACCTTACGTTTGCGCCTTCGATCACAATTTTCGTGTTGCTCTCCTGTGCGGATCTCATGAAGGCCACGCCGTCCACGACGTACTTCTTCAGCGTCTTCCTGTAGTCTTCGAAACTAGCCAGCTCGGCCTCGATGTCGTATTCGAGCAGTTCTCCGAAGCGCTTTTTAAAGCCATCGGCCAAGCGCCTTACCTTCTGCTCGAAGATTTCAGGGTGGAAGACGTCGGTCATTTTGATGCCAGTTCGCTGGAAAAGTTAACACAGTCCGCTCCCTTGCCATTACGATATCTTACCGCTCTGCTTGACTGATAGCAGGGACCAATCCCTATGGCGGACGTTAGACTTCGTTGCTTAAACAACGTGGCTAGCACGACAATGCCTAAGATTCTTCACTCCATTGAGACTTGGGTATGCTGGCAATGAGGTGACAAAAGCAGAAAATGATGATCCGGCATGGAGTCCTGGGGGTAGCATACCGCGTCTTGTTGTTCCGATAGCTGCGTCTGGGGTAGACTTTAGTTGGTGTTTCTCAACGGCAATGTCAAAAACTACGGGACGAACCTCCGAGTTCTTTCTCCTCGAGACCATCCACTGCGATGTGCAGGTCCAAGAGAACATTGACCCTGTCAGAAACAAGGATCCGATCATGTACCGCGGTCAGGTTTCCTTCGAGCGCCTTGAGCTCGCTGAAGAAACTCGGGCTAGAGGACAGTCAGTATTCT